ATCAGGTTGGGTGTTAGGAGAAATACTCGCCGATGACATTGGAAATCATGGGCTATTGGATTGGGACCCCAATAGCAGAATGATCTAAGCGCTCACCATTTAACTGGAAGGTCCTAGGTTTGTACTACTGAAGAGTTTCAAACTAAGACGAGACATTTGTCCAGTACTCTCCCTAGTGGTTTTCAGTGCTTCTCTAACTCACTTCAAACCACGAATAAACTTGAATTCTATCAGTCAGTTTACAATGTGGTTATCAAACTAAGTGACTCCAGCAATGGTAGATGGTTAGAAGCACCCGACAGGAAGCCTCAGACCTACCTGTGTTTCGTATTTGTTGGTACTCCTCAGCTAGGCATATCTACAGTTTTAAAGGCAGTGACTTCCTCATGAAGATTTTATCGTCCAGTGCCCCAATCAAGGATGTTACCACGGAGAGCTATTCATTTCGACTGCCTCTGGCTAATTGCCTCCGACCATTTATGAATACTAATTGTAATTTCAAACTGATTACTAGAAGATACATATATATATGGGTAAAACAAAACTCAATCCATTAAAATCTCCCCGGCCAACTCACTCCCTCACCTCACTAAGCCAGTAATAAGACTGGTAAAAAGGGAAGGTTGGCCATGGGCCTAGCAACCCCATACCATAAAAATAAACACCACTGCTACTGAAACTTCAAGCCTCTGGCTTGAAGCCCTATGTTCCCCTGGGAACGTAAAGGAATAAAATAATAAACAAAATACATTAGATGGTCGTTTCAAAGACTCATCAAATCAGAAGTAGTGTTGTGCAAAATAACTCAGTTCATAGGACAATATTGACAACTCGTATAGTTAGAATAAGTGTTTTTAAGATTCTTAGGCAATTTGTGAACATCGACAATTACTTCACCTGACACTATATTGTACAGTAATTAAACAGATTACCATTTATGTTTGAAACACTCTGCTTTGTAGGAAGAATTTGAGAATATAACAAACACCTGTTTCGGTTTTACATAAAGTACCATAAATAACCAGCTTAATTAACAACAACTAAATCCTATGCAAAAGTAAGCCTACTCTACTAACAAGAATTAAGTAAACACTATAAGATCGAAATTGAAATTAACACGTTAGCTTGTTGATTAGTGTAAATTTATTTGCATTCTACCCCTTTAAATAAAAACAAAAAAATAAAAAAACAACTACATATTATGTAATAAATATACTCAGAGATAATTTAATATATAATCTTAGAAATAAAACAATATCTAAAAATAGAGCCTAGAGTAATTAGCTGGTATTTCACACAAATTTCGAAGGATTAGTCAATTCATTCAGTCATTATTGATTGATTCCTGGTGAGATTTATTTGCTAGTTACGTAGTTACTTAAGTGTAGTTAGGCAGAACAAGTAAGAAGAGATAGAAGAAGAAGTGAAAATATTCTAATGAATAAAAGTAAACAACAACAAAAACGAAGATTTTTTCATTGTTCTACTTACTGTCATTCAGTATAAGTAGTATAGACTGGCTTACATTAAAATACTACTTCTGTTTACCTAGTTGTAAGTAGATATTTCAATCAAATTTCTGTAAACCAACACTTGGATAAACGGGTGTAGACTCGATGAACCAGGCAGGAGTCAGTAATCAACCTCTCTCGCTCTCCACCTGCCTAGATTACTTTTTAGAATTTTAACCCCCTCCCACCATGCTATTTTGTGGTTGTGTGTCAATGCATGTAGTGCGATTGCTGAGCTTTTTTCTTTTCTTCTCGGGGTCAACCATTCTTACCTTAGCCACTAAATTCTTATGTTCCGACAATCTGATTACCCCGGATCTACTAGTTTGACCTATATAGTTGACCTCACAGTCATTGCAGGGTATTTTGTAAATTATATTATTTTGTCTAATTGGGTCCATCGGGTCTTTTAGCCTACAGAGCTTGTCCCACCTGAGTGAGTTTGTAGGTTTGAATGACACCCTAATTCCTGCTTTATTTAGAATCCTACGTGGGGTCTCAGATGTCCCCTCTTTATATGGTATAACTGTAGATGACTTATATTCTCTCTTATTTATGTTATTATTACTAGTTCCACAATTATTTTTATTTTGCTTTTGGCCTTTTTTGATATTCCTAATGAATTTTATAGGATAGTTATTCAACACCAATGCCTCTTTTACCTGTTTCATTTCATCATTTAGGTCTTTTCTTGTGCTCGATTTGTTAGACACTTAACTAAGCCTGCCTTAACGGATGAGATGAATTAAAGTCTAAATATCTATCAGCATAATGCGTTGGTTTTTTATAAACACTAGTGTGTAGTTTACCTTCTTCTATTCGTTTTATTTTACAATCTAACATAGCTAATTCTCCTTGTTCACTTTCCGATTCAAATGTGAATTTTATTCCCTCTACTAGTGAGTTTATATGTGTCAAGAAGCTAGAGATATGTTGTGTTTTTAACACTGTGAATGTGTCATCCACATATCTCCACCATATTTTTGGTGTAGGATTAAATGTATTAAGAGCAATATTTTCCCAGCTGTCCATAAATATATCAGTGGTTGAATGGTCTACGAGGTCGCCTTGTAACCGTAAGCTGTTGGATTTGAACCTCACTAGGTGCGTACTGCTGAGGACGAAAAAGCTATCCAGTATCCCCAGGTGGTTTTCTAATAGTTCTCTAACTGATATTTAATCATGGCCAAACCTATAACCAATCAAATCCCTGCAAACCAACACTTGATAATATTATTAAATAAACAAATTATTATCAGTGGTCTAAGAAACATTTTTTAAAAAACACTAATTTCCTACTCCTTTACCTTTTCTCCTAATAATATTATTCAACAGAATACTTAAACTAACATAATGAAATCGGATATTTGATAATCGTGAGCTTATAGATGAAGTTTTCGTTTAGTGGCGAAAAAAAAGTAATCAAATAAACTTAATAATGTCCTCTTCGTCAGAAAATATACATACATACAACAAATACTACTGAATGATATGAGGCTAGCAACCCCCACACACCCACCCCGTGAAAGAAACACTACTGCCAGCGAAACTTCAAAGCTCTAGCTTGAAGCCCTATGTTCCACTGGGGGAACGTAAAGGAATAAAAAAAAAGCTAATGAGCAATATACTAAGCTGGAAATAAATTATCACACACTGAACAATAGGAATTCTTAAGCGAAATAGAGACTAGAGGTAGATAAATACAGATTTTTGAAAGAATCACACCTATTTTAGAATGGTTAAAGACACAGTCTAGTCTTTAAAACTTAGATAGTCAGAATAGAGTTAAAACTCATGGCTGATAAGTCACAGTTGTGCCAAAAGAAATATAAATGTGTATAAAATTTGGTTTGGCAGTGTTGATACTGTGAACTTTCATGATCAAATCATTCTTTTGAGTCCTCAGTGAAACTTCAAGGACTTCAAGCTTCGACGTTTGAGTGGTGGTGGTGGTGGTGGTATTATTTTCATGGAATGAAGTTGTCAGCCTTAAAGCCAACCTTCTGTCTTTACAAAGCTTAGTATCGACTAAGCGAGGTTTAGGAGTTCGTCGGCTGGAAATCGAACTCGAGCCATGTGTGGCATTGTTGACGAGTATTCCATTCCAGTGAACCACAGACTCACTTGGAATATATAGTGAGTTATTTCAAATCCGACAAAATGCGAGCTCGTGGAGAAAACCCTTAAGATACCCTTTAACCAAATGTTCACAAGATACAAGAACAAAATAATCAAAACCTATTCATGACACGTCATAGATATAAGAATATTTAACTGATGAATTAAAGTAACACCCTATAAAAGTACCTCATTTATCTAGTTTTAGGACTCAGATTGGACGAAAATATAATAAAACATTATTGTGATTAACACTGAAGATCAAATGGCCAGCCAGCCAGGCAGAAAGAAAGAAAGAACTAGCGACAAGAAACTCTGTCAGGCAACAAACCAATCAAGAGCCGATTGCTCAACTAATATGTAGGAGAAAATGAAGATGGATCGGGTACACATTGAGGAGGTTGTCGAATGACAACGCGCGCAATGCAGGCCACCACTCGAGTGGAATGCAGATGAGAAACGACGAGTGGGTGGTCGGCGCGAGGGTAACATGGAGATCGAGTGGCGAAGAGGAGATGAGAGATTATCAGCAATCGTGGACCCGTGTGAGGAGGACAGCAGAGAATAGAAGAAAGTGGAGATGTGTTGTTGAAGCCCTATATTCCACTCGAAACCCAAGGGAATAACAATATCAATAATAAGTGGTTAACGCTAGTCACCTATACTCGCCGATGACATTGTGTCATATAAATCGCAAATTTGCAGAACTTAGGATTTATGAGTTATTGAATTCCGTCTCATTGGCTGAATGGTTAACGGGCTCGCCGCAAAACCTGAAGGTCTTGAGTTCACTCCCCAGTGGAAGTCAATGAGAGCGTACTGCTAAAAAGCTGTAAATTAGGACAAAACAACTTTTCAGTAATGCCCTAGTTGTCTTTACTCCTGGTCATGCATTCACCTTATAAACACGACTAAACTGTAGAATTAGACTGCTGTGAACAATCAAATGAACTTATCATTCTGTACATACATTCTCTTGAATGTATACAAAACAGTAATCATTAAGTATATTTCAGATGCACTCTAGCTCTTACAGTTTATATTTTTCTGTGAAATAGAAGGTATTAGATTAAAAAGACTTCGTAATAAATGAATAAAATAAGATGCATCGCTAACCATACTGACTAAACAGAACAACCTGCAAGTCTCAAAATCTAAATGTTTTAAACTTTAGCATACACCCCTTTATCACTTCACCTTAAAAAGTAACCTTAAAATAAGATAAGGTGTTTATATGTACTAGCCTAGTTGATGATACTTAGCTTCATAGACGACCTATTAAAAATATAAAACTACCATTTTACACACAACACACAAAACATCAACAATTTATCAAAGAATATACAAAAAATAAAATCATTCTAAATTTACCAGTGAGTAGAAGTCTTTCCTCAGGTTTTCCACATGATACATTGACAACTGTATCAAATAAGTAAGCACGTCCTTGACTTCCTTGAAATGATTTTGAGATAAGATCTTGATGACGAGCAAGATGTGCACGACAATGTACACAACTGTAGGTTCGATCATCCGTATCACTGCTATTACTGCAACTACTATTGCTACTATTACTTCGTGTAGAACTACTTCCTTGTGCTCCTAAATAGACTTGAAATGTCTTCACCATGACAGTGTTCTAATAAAGAGATAAAAGATTTAAGAGAAAAAGGTAATAATTAAATACGTTTAACCACTTATATAAAAAAGAACAAATACATGAGAAATAACATTATTGTATGTATTATTATAATACTATTATTATTCCCTTGAGTCCCAACTGGAACACAGGGCTTTGCCAGTACATCTCTATTTCACTTTGTCCTCTGTATGTAATCTTTTTAATTCCCTCCTCTTGACACAGTCTCCTCTTTGTCATCCTCATCCGCCGCCTTCCTCGATTGGTAATGTTAGCTGACTGACATAGGGTCAGGTCGGAAAAGAGCCAGTGGTGGTCAAACCAAAACATGGCTTCATCAGTCAATGAAATCCATAACAGTTAGTTTAGGTCACGTAGGAAGATGTAGACTTCCTAGTTGTAGTTGGGGTCCTCGAAACGGCAAACACTAATGACTGGGGACAATTGGTGATATGGCTCAAAATCCTCGTTCTCAATGGCGCAGATGCATCCACTCCTTGTTTCTTATTATTTCGAATAAAACAATATTGTTGTTCAATATTACTATTCTTTTTGCCTCATATCTCTGTTTATTATCTCTATTTTACATTTCTCTTTACTTTTCTCTTCCTTTCTGGCTTTGTGTGCTGAGTGAAGTGTGACGACTCGATTTGCTGCATCCCGGTGCAAAGTTCTATGTTGAAACCAGACAGAGACAGACAGACATCCTCACCCAACAACTCATCACCACCCATTCGGATTCCACTCAAATGTATAAATAAGTAAGACATTTTACAGTATTAGGATCCCATAATGACATAAGTAAGGTCAATATTCATGTTGTCAGACTACGAGACAACTGAAAGTTATATCAAAATAAACCTCTTAAGAAAAGAAAAGCTTAAGCTCGTAATCAATGGAACTAGGTCAAAATTATATACATTTTTTGCAAACAAAATACTTTTACAGCTATGAAAAGCAAAGAGTTCAGTTATTCTAATGAATTAAAAGCAAAGATATATTGATAGTCTAAAATAGTTGCACATGAAAGAAACTGATGAATGAAACTTGATAATATAAAACTAGATTTATATTTCAAAAACACAAAGAAATGTACAAATGATTACATCCAACCGTCTAATATCAATTCAGAGTGCACTGTGATGGCAAGCCACCTAGTTTGGTGTGACGACACTAACTAATAGAGTTCAATCTGCACTAACACCAAGAACTAGACGAATGACACATTAGTCAATGCCGATTGGCCAGTCAAAGTATCCATTACAGTCCTAAAGGAAGTCAATCGCAAGTCAGAATAGCTTAGTAGTAAAGTCTCTAAATGCAACACTGGCCGACGCAGGTTCGAACCTCAGAGGGAACACAAGTTCCTTCAAGATTGCAGATCTACCTTTCTGAAGTGCCACCAAGCACGAAACCTATGTTCAACGCTACCTGCCAATCACCTCCAAATAACCAATATCAAAATACAATATTATGAACTACGTAAGTGTAAGTAAATAAACTTTCTACACTTAGTCGAATGTACAGCGAACATTTTTTTAAAATAGCCGAGATTAACCTCGACATAATTTCGAGGTAGTGAAATGGGTGTTTTTAGACAGCACCAGTTTAACAAAACAGTTCTTTAAGTTAGCTGTAAGATGTACTGTTGTTAGACAGGTTTCAATAGTGATCACTTCTTGAAAAATTCACATGAGAAACCTGTAACGTTGTTTATTTATATATGATAGAGAAAGTATAATGCAGCTTAGGTGAGTGGTATTGGTGTAGTTACATTCTCTAACCTAGAAGCCTTTATTGTTTTTCTAGATGACATCTTCAAAGCACATTTCGATTTGTAGTACAAAGGAGTCCAGTGCAGTACACTCTACTGATGATGTACCAAAATTGCCAGTTTAGTGAATGCAATTCATAAAGTATCCAACAAAACTGTGCTGAAATTTTGTCAGAATTCAGATCACTTTTTTGATGAACAAAACTTTGAGTGCAGTAGTAAAGCATCAATTTATATTATAAAATACCATGATCAACATCTACAACAGTAGCAAGGATACTAGATAATTAAAGCAATCGCCTATCCATAAAGTAGAATTAGTAAGAGATAATCAAACTTAGAATCTGTAATGTAGACAATTATTTTTCTAAATTACTAATTGGTAATTTACAATGCTTATACTCTTTATATTGTCCACACCATAAATAATGTGATTCCAATAGAGGTGGAAACTTCTAACACTTCAAAGTATAAATACACTTATTCCCCGGTGATATAAAAAGCATACGGAGGGTATGACTCACTAAACCCCCTTAACATTACTTTCGAGATTAAAGTAGTCTGTTCATTACATTTTAGTATTACTCAACACAAATCTACTTTTCCAACATTTTAGTGAGTTTTACATGAATATATGCCTGTCAGCTACAAGTGAAATTATAGTAAAGATAACCCTTCTTAAGTATTCAATGAACTATATGCTTTTGAAGAACAAAGCAAATAAGTTGGACAGCAGGGTTCCGAATACCAAATTTATTCGGAACATAAAAGTACAAATCAGCATGAGATGAAAATAATTCTCACTGTGATGTGGACTGAACTATTACCTGCGGAATGGCTTTTGCGGTCAATTAAGCCCACAGCTCTTCTCGAGCATTAGTATAAAGAGTAAGCAAAAAGTCAATCCAGATATGAAATTGTAGCTTAGTTGTATATTTACAGAACATGCAAGATGACGACTGATAATGCAATCAAGTCAAAAAAACAACTTGTGAATAAATATATTCGAGGAATGATGGTATTTAATAAGGAATCATTACTCAACTCTCGGAACTGTTTTTAAATTTATTAACAAATATGTTATGCCTAATAAGATTTTTATATAGCAAATGAACATAGTTCAAGTAAAGTTTCAGGAAACATTTAATACAATAATTCTGAATCATATAATGGACTCGCATTCTTAAAGTAAATTGTCACTTCAGAAATACGAAGAAATAAACTTTATTTGGTTAAAGCTGCATCAAAGGCAGATACTGTCAATAAAAATAGCACCATTACATAAAAGTTTAAGTGAAATATAATTAAAGCTCTAAATGTCACACAGATACAAAGAAAAGTAGAAATGAAATTATGCTACAACATAAAGATAAGAAAGACTGTTAATAGATCTGAACAGTTGGGTATAACTGTCAGCCATATCATTTAGATTCTTTGGTCACCAGCTTTAGATTTTCAGCAGGACACCCATATGAAATTCCATGTTTACTTATTCAGCCCAGTTATGTTCATAAATAATTATCTAAAAGCTCAAATTTATGATCAAGGTAGAGCTCTAAAAACTTTTGAGGTAGGTATGAGAAATGCTAAATGTTTCAGTGTCGACTCTGGTTTTTGAGTTAATTCAGTCACATGTACTTACAGGTGTAACCGAAGAGAAGCAATGTGAAACAGAAGATTCTTAGGGTAAGAAGTATTGAATATAGGAAAACGTAGTCCTTCTTGCTAACATAAACCACTCTACAAGACAGTGACTGAGGAAAGTGATAGCAGAAAAAAATAACAGGAAGTTGGCTACTATGTAAATAACAGATCACTCTGTTTCAGAGAGAAAGTAATACAAAATAATGAAATGTTTTGTTGAAAACATTATAAATAGTCGCTGTGCAAACAGTTCGTTAGTGAATCAGCGTTTCAAATTTTATGTATTGATTTGATGCCACCAGGGGTCTATCTAAGAGTATGTGAATGTATAGTGACTAGCTGAGGGCAATCTGTGATATTTCACCATGAGGTCTCGAAAGATATGCCGCTTAATCAAGGTTAACCATTAAAAAAACAAGAAGTTCCCGCGGCAACTTCCACAGCGTCTTTTAATATCATGAAACATCAGGGTCATATACTGGACAGGTGAATGTGGAATTTAAATATTTCTGAAATAAAAGCAGCATGTATCTCCAGATGCAATATTGTATTTCAGGAATAATGATGAACAAATGTTTAAAAAATCAGTCGCACGACACAAAGAAAAATGAATTAATTCTAGCGTCAAATGCAGAAAATCAGCAGGAAACATATACTACAAGATATTTTAAGCCACTAAAATTTTCCAGAGACTGCATTAATATATTAATGCAGTTTCCCGATATTTCGAGAAAACCCCAAGAAGGCTGCATCGCAGTTGCATAATTGTTGTGCCGACCCTTTAACTAGACAAACATACGACAGGCTACTTGCAGTGGCATTTAATATTTTACGAAAACTAAGCAGACAGTTCAATGAAGCTAAATATATGAGTGACTAGACAAACACCATATGCTAAATATTATGATGTGTATTATTGGAGAAAAAACACTAAATATGAATAAATTACCATAAAGTCTCATTTACCTATTGCATCAAAATGCACGACCCTCCAGCGACACAATTAATCCTATATATACTGCCAGCTGATCGAAGGTTATTTTGACGGCTGTGAAACTGCCGGTTCAATGAGTTAATGCAAAAGTAGCGTGTTCAAACAACGTCTAAATTCAATTTCAAACAGATAACAAATTTCGATTTCACGACGTAAAGCCACAAAATATTGGATGACAGACTCTTTTGAGGACTATAAACTATAAACTAAAATGGATAAGATACAACCAATGACACAGAGACTGGTCCAAATCCACTGCTTTGAGACCATGGTTACAAGAGAACTTCTGCGAAACCTTTAACACTGAAAGGTTTGCTCTAAAGTGTGGTGGTATTGTAACACAAGGGTGTGACGTTATTTGGTCCCCAGCAGGGCTCGTTTAAGATATCATCTTCCCATGAAAGGAAGCTCATTGCACCACTGTCAGACTCTGATATCTCCACCAGCGTAAACTTCTGTTTCATGATTTCAAGTAAGGCGAACGGTAACCTGTGTACATGATACAGTATAATAACCAAGTATTCTGTTTTGCCCGGTTTCTGATACAGTAAGTCATCCCGAGAAGTCCCGGCAGCTATGAAGGCGCAATCCTTCCCAATTTTTCACCAGCTCCATATACACGGACCAGTTGTCAAAAACAACCTCGTTATACTATATAGTATTGAGAGCTCTCTTTTACGTGTGGTCTGTTCTGCCTCAGTGTCAGTATTTTCAAAGGCGTCTTTTGTCTTTCCTAGCACCGTTCTTTAATCATGATCAGCATCTTTGTCCCCCCCCCTCACCTCAGCACCGGTCTATCCGTTTGACAGTACATTTACCTCTGTTAGATCCCAACTGCCCCTACAGGACCACCCTTGTTTCAGACTCTCCTTTTTGTCTTAAATTACTACACAGCTCTCTTTCCAAGTCACCTTCCGAACACGCCAGTATTTTTCTTAACAGCTTTTCCTATCAACATTGTCCATGAACTTTCCTTTGATGGTTACTGTTAGTGTTTCTTAGAGTTTCATCCTCCAGTTTCTGGGCGTCGAAGCTGAATTATGGCTCACTGCTAGTTACTTAGAATGCTTTCATCTTAACCTTGAGGGTACCATGCACCAGGCGGTGTTCTCAGCACACATCAGTTCCTCTTCTCGACTTCTCGTCTCACAGACTATATCTCCACTTCCTTGAGATCTAGATAAAGTGTGCCCATCTGCTGAAACCCAAGTCATTCCGTAGATAGCCTCGAGCCATATCAATGGAGTCACCGAAGCCTGCAAATAGTTTCCCATTCTCATTCATTTAGCTAAGAATTTCTGAAACCACGATAAGTTCTCTTCTCGGTTTGTCAGTCATATCGACCATTAGAATTTTGACGTCATCATCTAGCTGGGGTCTTGTCCACCACTGTTTTCAGTAACCCCTTGAAGTTGTTTTTCTTCTCTTTTCCTGTGCTTTCTGTAGGCGTGTAGCATTGGATAGTCGTAACTGTCCTTTCTTTTGGGTGGAATCTTACTGCTGTTATATTGGAGGGAATTTGTTCCTACTCCATAAGAACATGGTATACTATTTTTGACATGATGATAGTCACTCCCTCAGTGTAACCGGAGTAGTAAAATGACTCACCAGTGACGGATGAGCAAAATCTGAACTCATTTCATCTGCTTTGATAGATTACCGGCGCTTTCACACCATACCTCATTTCTATTGCAACCCGATCAGCGTTGACAGCCAAAGCATCGTGATATGGAATCAATTCTTGCCCCTCCCAATGTTGTCTCTGCTACAAAACATAAGCAAGTAATACCATCACAAAGCAGTAAAACAACCAATGACACCAAACATATACGATAACGAGAGGTCGCTGCCATTTTGGTAATGTTTCGAGCAAAACCACTGCCCGTGATCGCACGAACTGTTTTTAATTAAAAAAAACCATTGGTGTGATCACGGGCGGTCATTTTGCTCCAAATATTATCAAAAACAAAATCTTACCACTGTGTGTAAACTAATGAAATATAATTATAATTTATTTGATCTACTACACAATACTCAAACATTTATTGACATTAGGAGATCATGCGTTATTTTTAACAGTTAACCAAAACTCCCTGAGTCACGTACAGTTAAGAGTCATAATCCAGCGATGTAAAAACAAGATTCAGCTTAGTGAAACATGTTGTACTGTTACAAAATAAGAATTTACGTCAAAACTACAAAAGTATCTCAACACAGGCATCAGTTCAGTTAATAATATCAGTAATTTCAACTGCAGTTAGTGAAATATAGCATAAATGTGTGATGAAAACCCTCAAGCACCTGTATAATTGGGCAGTCATTCAAAATTTATGAATTACATTAAAATTTGTTTTAAAGGACTGAATATCCAACTCTTAGGTCTCATTCAAATCTAGCGGCACGAACTCTAACACAAAGTTTCCTGCAGAAGCCAGTATTATTATCGTGGTGATACGCCACAGCTCCTTCCAGCACCAGCTGTCCCTTTCGCCACTTCCACTCCTTCTGCCTAGACCGGAATAATATCAACGCATGCAAGTGCACTTCTATCTCCCCGGCGTCGGAACTGCAGCCGCAGACTGGAAAACCCTGGCACCACTAATAATCATTCGACGAGTGGCCCTTTTCGAACATGAACACCTGACGCCTTTCCGTCTATACCATTCTAATATCAGCTGAAAACTGCCCGGCTTATCAAACCACATTCGACGGTTTTGTCTCCATCATCACTCAATCCAACTATAAATTCAGAAGGCTAGAATCGACTTCAGAAGCAAGTGTGATGAAGGTCTGACAAAATTTACTTCATACAAAAGAATGCGGAAGACAATCAGTGAGCAACACAATCCAAATAACAATTTCACCTTGTACACACTTCACATATATACAGAGAGTACATTTAATTGCATGGAGTACGTATTCACGTACTGCCCACAAAGAATCGTGGGGTTTACAACAGTACACCTGCGACCCCACTCACACCATCCATTCTGCAAATGAAAAATCGTCATAGGGTTCATTCTTTGACCTTTCATCTAACACCCTCTCCAGCAAACAGAGTGTTGAATGCCTCGCACTAACATGCTACTCCTTCCTGCTACTAACTCATCATTACTACACAGCACCTTTTCTAGTAATTTTAAGGGCTATCTACTCATATTACCACTGTCTGCTACTATAACTACATCATCAACTTGCAAGTTCCAAAACGACCTTCTCCATATTTCCCTTCCTCACAGTGTTGGCACATACTCTCCGAACCACTTTTGCCAAAACACGTCCTTCAGCTGTCTGGTTTGTCTCCATCTTTTTGTCACAGGCCTCAGTTCTGCGCTCCAGTCTCCTATGCTTGAGTTACTATATAATAGCAACAACTTACTGGGATTCAATGGGCTAAAGTCCCTGACGCTGTTTTGTACATCCGATAGTTGTCGACCACCCAGAATCCTTTCAGCTCTGTAAAATATATCTCCGACTTTTCTCCGGTCATGCTTAAGTTTTTAATCACAGAACTTAAAACACATTAAATATTTCCTGTGAGACTCTCTCACAGCCCACATCTGTGAACAGCTTGTAGTGGGTAGGAGTGCCACACAATGCTCTCCCTCAGTAACCCCAAAATATCATTCAAACTGAGTATCACGTCCAACCAGATTAGTCCCTTTGTCAATGGACATCGTTTTTGGCATACTTCAGTAGTTCACAAATCTTAATAGCTCTAGAATAAATGTTAATGCGTCAGTGTGCACAGTTTCATCCTTAGGCAACTGTACATGCAACTGCAGTTATCTAATCACTTTTTCCCCCTTACTACAAAAGATTCGAATATATCCACTCCGACATACTCGAGTGGATAATTTCCTCCGGATACTTGATGTACGCTTGTTGAGCTAGATGAACATTCCTTCGTCTGCACCCTACATACTTAACAGTCAATTTGCGGACTGAAGCATCATTCGTCGCCCAACACTTCTGTCGGAAGTCTGACAGCACTTGGGAAGAACCGAAATAATGGCATCCGACCACGACAGTCATGACTTTATGATTGAAGGGTAGTATGGTTGGGTGAAAGGTTTCGTATGGCGCTTCTAATATTTGTAGGCATCTGCGAATATGAGAACGAGTCCATCTACCCGTACTCTGAAGTCTACTAGGTTAGTACCATCTTCCTTCCTGATTCCTCTCACTGAGCAACTCTCGATATTGACGTCTCTATCATGTGTATTTTTTTCGACTCCTAGTGGTCCTATATTCACCATAAGTTATTCCGGAAAATCCATGACTTCCAACTATTCAACACATGTGGTCAACTAAGCGACAGCTTTGAATAATTTATACCAAAAAGAATGGTATTCTAATAGCGGGTGCAACTCTGAAGGCCTTTTATTCTAGTCAGTCTAACGACTGCTTTCAGCTCCAAGATGCCCTCGCATCCCTTCTGAGCCACCGTCTCAGGGATTCTGGACTTTCCCATCACCTGCCTGTAGGCACATTCCCGTCGGTAATACCTCATGGCGCTATATCAGCAGCATACTACTTGAATATAACATACTTCAACTGACCGACGTATCTGCTTCGAGAATTTTAGATATCTTGTTTTCTAAAATGACGCATACCTGGCTGACACATGGCATGTATAACACATCAGGGCCACAAAATTGGTCCGAAAAGTTGCATGACATGCAAGGTAGTTTAGTTCCTCCTGACCTGTACTGAATATCTGGACGGCTAGGTGGGCAACATTGAGTTCTAAACTTGGAATGGAAGCAGTATTGATAGGCGCTACTTCCATTAACTCCTCACGGCTACTTTATTATAAACGGAAGGTCCATGTCTACACTCAATGGGGTCGGAAAAAACATGAAATCGGTTACCTCATGATCTTTTAAGACTTTAATGGTAGTAGAACGAAGTGTTGTCATAGCTAATTCAAGTTTCTAACACATTATCTCCATTCTTAGACCGGCCAACCCAACGCAATCTTTCTTTTCATGTCACTTGAAATAAATTTGTCGCGGGAAGGAGATAGTTTGCAGAGAATCCTGATGTGTCAAATGGGTTTGATGCTG